TTGATAATTGCAGGAAATGGAGAAAATCATGGATTGTATACCATTTAAGTTGATTGTAATTGATGCAGAATATTCCCTAGTATAGCTACTTGTTGTGCTATATATGCATGTACATTTGCTTTGTATTGAATCAATAAAAAAATTCAGAAAACACCTACAACAACATATCCTTTTCATTTCTTATCTTCTTTTTATACTTTGTTTTCATGGCATCAGAGCACTAAACCTGGTGACTAAATATTTCAAACGCTTCCGCTATATCTCGTAACCCCATGAGTAGTGGAGAAAATCTTCAAACCTAAATGTCTGGATCTGTTCTAGAATTTTCAGATCCATACTCTCTACAACAATCAGACCACCGGGCATGATATGTATCCAAGGTGCTGGAAGGCGATAATTACAGCACCTGGAGTCGTGCAATGAGAATAAGTATGAGCGTGAAAAATAAGATTGGATTCATCACTAATTCAGTCAAAGCACCATCAAAATCCGATGTGAAATTTCCCTATTGGCGAAGATGCAACGACGTGGTGATTCGAATGAACTCGATTCACCCAAACACAACAACTAGCTATACTAGGGAATATTCTATATAAATTACAATCAACTTAAATGGTATACAATCCATGATTTTCTCCATTTCCTGCAATTATCAAATCTTCCCATAATACTCCCCCTCAAATTGGTGTGTGTATGTCATGAACACTCGATTTGCTGAAAATTGCCTGAAAATTGGATGAACTGAGTGGCTTAGTAAACAAATCAGCAAGTTGTCCCATTGAAGGAACGTAAGCAGTCTCTATGTCTCTTGATTGAATTTTTTCTCGAGCAACATGACAATCTATCTCTATATGCTTTGTCCGTTCATGGTAAACCGGATTAGCTGCAATATGTAACGCCGCTTGACTATCACAAAATAGTTTCGCTGGTCGTGGGTGTTATACTCGCAAGTCACTCAACAAGTATCTTAGCCATGTGAGCTCACATGTAATTGAAGCCATTGCTCGATATTCAGATTCTGCTGAAGACCTTGACACAGTCGTTTGTTTCTTTGTTTTTCATGAAATGAGAGCTCCTCCAAGCAATACCCAGTTAGTGATCGTCTTGAGATTGGCCAACGGGCCCAATCAGAATCACAGAATCCTGTTAATAGAAAATTCGTCTTGGCTGGGAAAAATAGTCCTATCCCAGGTGCACGTATAAGATACAGATGATGGACAACATCTAAATGAGGTTTCCTTGGTTCTTGCATAAATTGGCTTAAAACCTGAACATAATAACTAATTTCCGGTTTAGTAATTGTGAGGTAAATAAGTTTACCAACCTATCTTCTATAAATTGATGAATTTTTCAATTTGTCTCCATTTGTGGGCAATAGCTTTATATTTTCTTCCATAGGTGTCGACAAAGGCTTGGCACCAAGAAGACCTGCTTCTTCTAAAATATCAAATGTATATTTTCTTTGAGATATTGAAATACTAGTAGCTGAACGGGCAACTTCGACTCCAAAGAAACATCGTAATTGGCTGAGGTCTTTAATTCGGAACTTTGTACCAAGAAAGTCTTTAAGAGCGCCGATTTCTCCATTATCATTGTCTGCTATAATCATGTCATCAACATAGATGAGCACAACAGTGAAACTATCACCAGAAACTTTAGTAAAAAGTGAATAGTCAGCCGATGATTGTTGAAAACCATTTTGTTGGATACTATAGGAAAATTTATGAAACCAACTTCTGGAAGCCTACTTTAGCCCATATAATGATTTGTTAAGTCAGCACACCATAGGTATGTTGAATGTATACCTCTTCCGTTAAATCGCCATGAAAGAAAGCATTTTGTACGTCCATATGTTCAATGGTCCAGTTACGAGCAGCAGCTACGACAAGTAAACAATGAACAATCGTTAACTTTGCTACCGGTGCGAATGTCTCTTTGTAGTCGATTCATTCTCATTGAGTAAACCCCTTGGCTACCAAACGAGCTTTATAGCGCTCAATTGTGTCGTAGGAATTATACTTAATTTTGTATACCCATTTAGGGCCAATGGGACCATAGGGGAGAGTTGTAAGTGTCCAGGTGTTATTTTCGTCAAGGTCCTTTATTTCTACATCCATAGCCTTACGCCAATTCGGATCAAGTATAGCGTGTTCATAATTAGTTGGCTCTACAGGTGTATTAATAGCACAAAGAAATTTATGATATTTGGGCGAAAGATGCGAATAAGAAATATACCTGGACAACGGATGGCGCGTGCCCGAAGGAAAAGATTGGCCTTGATCTGATTTGGAAATATTATAAAGGTGGCAATTTTTCAAATGAACGTTTGACTGTCTAATGCAATCAGAACGACGTGGAACATTGGGTAATTGGTTCTCAGTGATACTAGGGGGAGTATTATGGGAAGATTTGATAATTGCAGGAAATGGAGAAAATCATGGATTGTATTAGGGGTGAGCGTGGGTCGATACGGTTCGGAGATTGATAAATCTCCAGAACCGTACCAAATTTCGGAGATCCCAAAATTCGATCTCCGGAACCGTACCAAAAATTCGGTTCGGTTCGATTCTGAGATTTTTATTTTTCGGTTCGGTTCGGTTCGGTATTCGGGACAATTGAGACGGTTCGGTTCAGTATGGTTTGGTTCGGATCTTCGGAGGTTTTTTATTTTTTTTAAATAATTTTTGAATGACTACCTAGTTATATTTTAATTTTTATATGCTTTAAAAAACAACATTCATCACTAATTCATCATATTGAAGATTTTATTTTGAAATCAATTCTAGAAGTAACTCTAAATTTTTATTATTTAATTTTTATATGCTTTAATAAAACCAACATTCATCACTACTTCCTCACATTAAAGATTTTATTTTGAAATCAACTTTATAAGTAACTCTAAGTTTTAGTTATACCTAAAATTTGTACAACTAATATTGAAAATTTAAAATTCAAATAAAGTATAATATTTTTTTCTTACAAAAATATTTTTTAAACTTTCATATTATTTTAAATAATTATTTTATAATAGAAAAAATTCAATTGTAGATCAAGTATTACTAAGAATGAAATTTAAGTGAATGTTAATATTTATTACTATATTATATAGAATCAAAGTTGACATAAAATATATTAGTAATACATTTAATGTTATAATTCGGTTCTTAATTTCGGTTCTTCGGTTCAGTACAGTTCGGTACAGTACGGTACGGTTCGGTTCGGTTCTCGGTACGGATATTTGTGAAATCTCCAAAACCGTACCAATTATTTTTTCGGTTTGGTTCGGTTCGGAGAAAGTCAAACGGTCAACGGTTATTTTTCGGTTCGGAGTGATTTCGGTTCAGTTTTCCGAACGGTTCGGAATTCTCCGAGTCCCATGCTCAGCCCTAGATTGTATACCATTTAAGTTGATTGTAATTGATACAGAATATTCCCTATATAGCTACTTGTTGTGCTATATATGCATGTACATTTGCTTTGTATTGAATCAATAAAAAGAGTCAGAAAACACCTACATCAACATATCCTTTTCATTTCTTATCTTCTTTTTATACTTTTTTTTAAGAGACAATTGAGCACTCCCAACCAAAGAATGAAGGAGTATTTGGGCGTATTGCAAGGGCCCCAAACAACCCCGTCCATGGCATCAATGCACCGCGGGGTCTTAAGAAATCTTAACAACTTCTCAACCCTTCATGCTTATCTCGTGAACTCCAACGATGAAGTAGGGCTTTCGCGCCTTGCTCATTTCTCGCTTTGTCTACCAAGGCCCGTCGGATCTCGAAAAGATATTTGAAAAGGGGCGAGTCATCCTTGTGTATTTCTCATTCCCACACGGACTTGCCAAATAAATGTGGTGGATCTATTTGTACCATAAGGTGTCATTTTTAGCTTGCATGTTCCAAATAGTGCGTGCAAGCAACACTTGATTCCAAAATTCAAATCATGAAGACCCAAGCCCCCTTCCAAGCGCGGGAGACATAAGCTATCTCAAGCTACGAGAGCGCTTTTCGAGCCCTAGAGAAAACGCCTACATTATTGGATAATTTTGGTACGCACGATAGTAGGCAAGTGGAAAATTCCAACCAAAAACACTCGATACCTTAGATGACTAAGCGGATGAGTTCCACTCTACCAGCGTATGAAAGTGTATGGCCGCTCCCTTTAAGTCTTAGTTTGAGCCACATCCTCATGACCAGTCCAATTATGTTTAGAAAAATGATACATTACCAATCTAGTGTACAACTAGGTTGACAACACAAGTGTAAACATACACTTGTGTATTTTTTTTATTTTTAATTTTACGAGTGTTTACACTTGTGTTGTCAACCTAATTGTATACTAGGTTGGTTATGTAGCATTACTTTTATGTTTACTATAACTTAAAAAAAATATATATATATCAAAACACGACATTAAAAATAAAACTATTCTTAAATCATTCGAGATGTACACCCAAAACAATGCAATATCAAAATTAGTGATAAAAATGTGTGACAAATCAACCATGCATAAATACTAAAAGTTAGTATATTTTTTTATTAAAAATAAGAAATTGATAAATATGTAAATAAATATTAATTTGTAAGTGAATTGCATAATTTTCGTGTCATTCTTTTTCCACACGTAAAAGAAAATTACAATCCACTGGTTAAAATATGATAATGCATTATTGAAGTACACATTTTTTATTCACAAACATTTAAAATAAAATGCTTGGCCAATTTTGACGCAATAGGTCGATTCACAAGCAACAACAATATTTATTCACTTCTAAAAACACCAATTCGTGATTTTTCACTACACAACAAATCAATGCATCTCTATAATAATTACAGGCCAGAACCATGTCAACTTCAAAATTCTGAAGTGTTATGTTAGTTTCTATTTCACCCACTTCATCTAGCTCAAAGATGATCACAAGATTATTGTGCACGCAGTCGAGCATAACATCAGTTCTTTTTTCTTGGCAAGAACAAAAAACAAACCGAGGAACTAGGCTAACCAGTTGGTTTCCTCTTAAAGGCAGGGTGGATGATTAAGTTAGACGATTCTAACTTATCAATCCTGGCCATATACTCTTTCATCCTGTTCAGTACAGCAGGCAGAACAGCAGTATTGCTAGAGAGCTTTTGTTTTAGGAGTTGCATTTTCTCAGCTTCTTCCTTATCCTCTGTGATCGATAATTCCGTGTTTTCCCTTGTAAGAGCTACAAATGAAAAGTTCAGTAAAGCAGCAAAATTATATTATACAATTGTGGCAAGGAAAAACAGAACATTAATAAAACGTTAATATACATGCAATAGCAACAAAATATTAATATCCATGCAATTGCAACAAAACATGGACGCTAATCATTTTCTTTGTCAAAGAAGACAGAAGGTATGCATCACATAAAGGTATGCATATTAATAAGCTTTCAAACACAGAAGAAAAGCAATTGCATACGATATTTGGGGTGGTTTGTCAAGATACGAGTAGAGAAAAATATTAACCAGCATTAATTCTTCAGCACAGACAAGGAGATATGTTAAAACAAAGCTAAAACAGAGATAATCATTTAGTTTTCACGAAACTGCTAACTTAGTTACACGGTGCCAATATTGGTTGATACAGAAAAATTATGTGTCCTGATCTAGTTTATGGTAAATCATTATATAAAACAGTAATAATGCACACACACCACTTCAGTTATCTTTCAATATTAGAAATACCCCCTTTAAGATGTTACAATATTATGCCATTCAAATTCGCTACCTAAGAAATACTCTTCATGAGAAGGCAATTCGCAAAAAGAAGCTAGATGTCAGAGATTCGGTTTATTTGTCGAAGATGACTGCACTTTCAGTAAGCAAGCCGAACACATGGGTTGTCTTTAACCCTGTATAATTTGACCCAAGAGATGAATGCATGCTTAGAATAGGCTTATGCAGAATTTACAACTATGAATCTCAATTTTAAGTAACTCAGCCTTTATCTCAAATTAAACTAACTCCGCCTTTATCTCAAATTAAACTAAATCAGCCATATCCAGGACCCAAACAAAACTAGAGCTCACCCACCAATCGATAACCATTACTATACATAGACTGTGGGACTGAATTTGCAGATAAGCTTGTGCAGTGTATGCATAGAAAGAGATGACCTCTGATATCAAAATTTTCACATTTAATCAGTGCAAATTTAAGATTCAAATTTCAGATAAAGAAAACTTAGTTGGGCATGTAAATAACTGCAAGCAAAGGTTCAAAAAGGAAAACAGACACACAGAAAAAAAAGCCAGAATATAAAAATACCCCTCAAATATGTGATTTAAATCTCACTAGCAGCAGAACAGAAAAAATGCATTAAATCACTAGCTTTCCATATTGAAAAAAAATGGTAAAAAGGGAAAACACCGAACCTTGGCTAACTCCGGCTTCTGAGTCTGGCAGCAGCATTGGGGTTTCCGGGCCGGTCCTTTCGTCTGTTAAACGGGTCGGTAAAACGGGTCTAGCCGATGCGAGGACAGACCGAAGGGTTGAGCTGAACTGCTCCGGGAGTGTGGTTCGATATTCGAGTATTTTCTGAGCCATTTGGTGAACTTCTTCTTCCAGCTTTAGCACCTCCTCTTCCTCTGCAGCCTCTTGGAGGTCGGAAGCGTCGCCGATTCGAGGTCCTGATGATATCATAATGCCGGTGTCGATTTCTTGTTTCTCTGTAGGAAGAATGTATGTGGATGGAGAACAAATTTGGGGATTAGGGTTTGAGCTGAGTTTTCGAAAATTTTGAAAATACAAGGGGGAGGCTGCTTTGTGATTTGTGGGGGGATTTGGGGAGTCGGAGGAAAATTGGAAGTGGTTGCAACTTGAATAGTTGGTGGGACCCACCATTTTTACGATAAACTATGAATTTAATTTTTCGTGACTGTTATTTATTATCTATATATATATATATACTTGTTTGCATATAGTATTTAATAAAACCTAATTAATAAAATCTCTATTCATTTTTCGCTCGTTTTTTCAATTAATATAGAACCGTTACATTTTACATTAATAAAGTGTAATAATAATTTTAAACTAATTTATTCACTACTAACACTAATTGATTACAACTTTACATTAAATAGTATGTGAAAGTTACATACTTATAAAAAATTGTATTGCAATTTTTTTCATTAAAATACTTTTTCTAAAATAAAATATTTTTGTCTTTTTAAGCGATTTTTTTTTTTTATCTAATATTAGTTAATTGACATGAGTGTCAAGAATTAAACACCTTAAAATCACATAAACAAATGCTATAACAATGATAAAAATAATTGTAATACTTTTCTAACTAATTAATTGTATGGTCCCTCTAAATTACTAAATTTTATTAGCCATTAAAATTTATGTCATCAATATAAAGATTCATACGTACGTTAAATAAATTATATTTACATTACACATTTGCATGTAGTCAAAATTTAAAATGTAATACATTAATTATATAATATAAAATTTTTATATATTGTATACATACATATAAAATATAGATTTTTATTTTTCTTTGTGCATGTGCACAGACATACATACATATAATATATAGATTTTTATTTTTCTTTGTGCATGTGCACAGGATGAAAATATACTAGTTAAATTGTCAAGATAGACATGAAAATATATATCTTAAATTCTAAGCATATTGTTTTATACACAAATATTAACTTTTCAACCTAAAATATTTATGAAAAATTGTAACGTGTTAAGTAGTTTTTTTTTCCTTTCATCTTTATTTCATTATATAGATAAAAATAAAAATAAATTATTCTTTAAATTAATATAATTTACAATTAGAAGAAAATGACCATATACATTAAATAATTTTATCAAATCATGAAATTGAAAAAAACAAAAACCAGATATGCTCTCTATCTCTCTCTAAAAAAACCAAAACCCAAAACCAGATCTGCAGAAGTCGGCCTTCCAAGGTGTACATCGGGCTTTGCCGGCAGAGGCCGGCCCTTGATTGCTTGGCTCCTGCCTCTTTTTTTCTGCTCCTTTTCCATTCCCTTGGAGTTGGCCCTGTTGCGGACGATCGTCTTCTCTTCCGGCGACTTTTCGCGACTTCCGTGTGGTGGCTTCTCTGCTGGGCGAAGGAGGAGCTGTGGTGCGGTTCTCGAGGCGGGACGCTTCCCAATTGCTCGACGATGTTGCTGTTTGGGCGAATCGGAAGTTGCTGCGGTTCGAAGTTGATTCGACTTTTGGGTCGAAGGGTCATGGTGGCCGTTCTTCTTCTTCTGCCAGTGGTGATGGGGGGAGTAGTAGTGCTGTAAACGAACCGAACCGGACCGAGCTTGGACTGTTCGAGCTCGTGTTCGTTTACGTTCGAATAGTTCGTTCGTTTATTTTTCGAGCAAAAAATTGTGTTCGAGTTCGTTCGTTTAATTGTTCGTCAATGTTCGAGTTCGTTCGTGCTCGAATAATTTAATACATAAACTTTTTAGTGTTCGATTAACTGGAAATTTGTCCGTTCGAACTCGAAAATAAAAGAATAAAATAAAAATTATTTTATATATTATATTTTTTATTAAAAATATTATGTTAATATATAGAAAATAAATAAAATTATATTAAACTTTAGATTTTTTTAATAAAAATATTATGTAAATATATAAAAAATAAAATACAATTATATCAAATTAATGTTCGCGAACATAATCGAACGTTCACGAACGAGTTCGTGTTCGTTCGATTATTAAACGAGCCTTATTTTCTATTCGAACTCGGCTCGATTAACAAACGAACAAGCTTTTGTCGAACACGAACGATCTCGAACGAGCTTTTGTTCGCGAACGTTTGGTTCATTTACAGCTCTAGGGAGTAGTGAGGCGGCGGCGCGGTGGCTTTGGACTGCTTCTAGGCGTGATGGGGTTGGGGTTGCGGCTTGGTACTCGTTTGTTTGTTCGGAACACTTTGGAGTATTGTGGCCGTGGTGCGGGTGGCCGGATTGGGTTTCGGGGCTAGGGGTTCGACACCGTTAGGCAACCGAGTGGTTTTGGCAGTTTCGGGGTCGATTCAGCTGGCTGCGGGATTCTCTATCGCCTTGTTTCCGTTGGTTCGGTTTGGTGCTGCTACTTTGGGAGGGCTTGTTTAGTTCTAGTTGCTTTTGTTTTGTTAGTTGGGTAGCTTTGTGTGTGTGTGTGTGTGTGTTTGTTCGTTATGTTGTGTTGTTGATGTGTTATTGGTTTGGGCCAGTTGGCCTCTGTCAGCTTGAGTGTCACTTTATTACCCTGTTGGGGTCTCTGTGTATTACCCTGTTGGGGTATCTGTGCGGTGTTGTATTTTGTGTTTTTTTTTATTACCCTGTTGGGGTTGGATCTAGGTGGTCGGATCTGGGAGATCATAGGACCTGTCCTCTCTTTTTTATTCAGCTGTTGGCTGCTGTGTATTCAGCCGTTGGCTGCTGTGTATTCGCACATTTGTGCTTTTTGCTTTATAGTACATCTATCGTTTCGAAAAAAAAAATAAAAAAAGTCATGAAATTGAAATATATTAATATTTTTTAGAATTTCAACATGTGATTTATTTGTATATTATTATTAACTATGATTATTTTTTATTAATTTTATATTTTGAATTCTTTCCATAAAGAAATTCTTTTAAAATATATTTACATTGCATTGTATGTTGAATAAACTACAAATCCTCATGGTGGAAATTAGAAACATCTCTTCATTATAAAAGGAATTTACTTTTGGGCAATTACTAACAAAAAAAATTTAATCATTAAAAAATATTTGTGTATATTTTGTAAAATATTTGTACACAGTGTTTTATTTTAAATTTATTTACATAATTTAAACTAATTACATTAGTAAATAATATTCACGTACATTATATATTTTCATTACATAAAATAAAAAGAATAAGAAGACTACATCTATAACTTTTATAAATAATAATAATAATAATGACATCATATTACAATACATTTTATAATAAAATAATAATAGGGTATCATACGAGAAACAAGAATAAGTAAAATTGTTATTTTTCTTATATCAAGGAACATATTCATTTGCAAGATAGCGCTAACAGAATCAGGTTCAACGTCTGGACATAAAAATGATGTTGTTGCAAAGAAGTAGAAAAATAGATGATCAAACTCTATTATTTTGTAGGCTTTAACAGACAAGCGATATAAAAATGAATCATTTAATATTTATGTAATGTGCATTGCGCAAGCTACTTGACGGACAAGTTTTATGAAAATGACTCATTTAATATTTCTGTATCTTCGCATGAGCTACGTACTAGTTCTGTCTTATGATAAAAGTGTAAAACTAAAAGTATATTTCTTTATAAAATGTATGAATATACAACTTTGGACTGAAAATAAATAATTCTTCAATTTGAAATTCCAATACAGAAATAAGGTGTATTTTGGTTACAAAATGTGAAAATTTCAACAATTACAATTATATTACCTTCACAATCACGCCCAACCCCTTTGGCCCTTTTATCTCTCTCTAGGGTCGAACACGGAGAGAGAAACAAAGCGGCAATGGAGGGCTCGAAAATTTTGCCCCAAACTCGAAAAAGGCCGTTCGAACATACCGCCGGCAATATTCAGG